CTGTAAAGTCAAACAGATGATTACATGTCTACTAACCACCACAAACCACTCAAATACTCTGTGGCCGTGTCAGGCCTTAAACCACACGGGCGTCCCAGCTCCTCGACATCTCTAATCACTCTTTTCCTCTAGAGCAGTCCAGATGAAAATAAATATATAAATAATAAAATAAATCAATGAAAGGATGAAATGAGATTACCAGCTGCTCCTCCTGGCCTAGTTTTTCCTTCTGATTAAGCGTGATCTAAGCGTGCCCAGTGCTATAAAACTGCTCTGTTGTAGTCAGAGCTGCTATTCAAAACTATTAACACTGCACTTCACTCGATATTAAAATGGCTACATTAACACATTTTTAACAAACATTATATAATGCTTAACAGATCAGTAGTTAATAGTAATTTAGTATTTCAAATGCAAATCTGAATATTAACAAATTATATTTTGGCCATAATGTCATGTAATAATGACTGTTAATGTAATTAATAAACTTGTAATTCAATTAAATTACAAATTAAATTAAAGTACCGGGGTAAATAAATTGAAATTTCATAAATATCATAAATCACCATGTTAATAATAAAATCATTATATTTAAAATTTATGACATTTATGAAATTTCCATTTATTTACACTGGTTGTGGGGTAAAAGGACCTCGTTGCCATCTCAAATATTTATAATACAACCTATACACATTTTAAACAAAACCAAGGCGTCAGTGGTTTTAATGTACAAGGTAATGTCTGATTTTCAACCTCAGTTTAGCCTACATTCACTACGCATGAGTCACTGCTCAGGTACAGACAGAGGAAATTCCCACCTCTAAAATAAAATCTCTACTGCATAATTAATCATGACACTTATTAAATATAGAGGTGCGTTAGAAAGAACCCATCACACAGTGGTTGTTTTGTTCTTTGCTGACAAAGCTGTATCATGATCTGAAATGTAAGTCCATGCCTGTACACATGTCCCCTGAAAGAGTTTCTGCGTGGGTAGACAGAGAGACAGACAGATGTTACCTGTTTGACCTCGGCCTGTAAGTGGCGGAGCTGCACGCACTGCTCCAGGTGTCTCCTGTGCTGCTCTGCGGCTGTGTCCAGCTCCTGCTGTTTCTCATGCAGGAAATCCAACAGGTCCTGCACCCGCGTCGCCATGTCAACATCACGGTCGCACAATAACTCCACACCTGGACACAGAAAGAGAAACACAGAGAAATGTAGAGGTGTAATGCAAGAGTGTAAATAATCTCCCCGACACAAATAAATCCAGCTTTTGTCATAATAGACTTAGTCCTTGTCCTTTACTGACAGCTTCAAAAGCCTGGCATAAACATACTGAGGTCATATTTTATAAAACACATAAAAACATTATATTAATGACAAGAGATTTGGAATATGGATGTTTATATTATATTACAGTATATTAAATATTTACCTTTTTTGCACTCTGACTTTATTTTCATGACAGTTAAGCATAAGTTCCTATTCAGTTCTAATTACCATAATGCAAAAAACAAACCAGCAAACAAAAACACATTTTCATTAAGGTAATGTGAGAAAAATAACTCAACTTTTTAAAATCATCAACACATTTACACACCACTGCAGTGTTTGTTGTATTGATTTTAATTTAGGCTGGTTTGAATTAAAATATACACATTTTATATTTTTCCTGAGTTGACTTTTGATTGAAAAAAAAAAACTCACAAAAAAGAAAACCCCAACTGGATAAATAAGAAATAACATCACATGCAAAGGCAGGATATGTTGGTAATCCGTAAGAAGACTTTAGTACGAAGACTAAAATCCATATCCTCCAATCCCAGTTTAAAGAGATAGTTTACCCATAAATTAAAATTCTGTCATCAGGTGAAGAAACAACACACTTCAGCTTTAAAGGCATTGGAATGAAATTCACAATGCATTTAACCTTTGTAATGTGACCTTTTTGTCAATATTCAGACGGAATGTTTTATTTTTTGTATCACAGTCAGCTGATATTATTAGTTTAAATTCACAAAATCACAAAGTTATTACATTCTGATTTTTCTTTAGAATAATGTGCACTGATGAATCGTGCACAACGCAACCTGCAATATGCATGGGTTCAATTTTGATTTCAAACTGTCTTTATAGTCAGTATTGGCAGAAGTAGCATGACTTGTTTAAACTAAACCAACCAACTAAATTAACAAAAAGGATAACTGACCTATGACACAAATAGCATGTACAGAAGTGCAGATACCTGGATTTCAGCATTGTTAGCACACACGCTATCACACACACACACACACACACACACACACACACACACATACTCACATTTTATACCCGTAGCCCAGAGCTGCATTGGGCTAAAGCTCTGAGAGTAGTCCAGTTTTGCGTTTGTATATGTGCCTCCACAAAAGGATGCTAGTAAAATGAGGATTCGTTTTGCTCTCTGCTATCTGTGCGTGCTGTCAGATGTCAAATCATGCATGTGTGTGTGTGTGTGACCAGTGATTTTGCTAGGCAGTGTGAGTCTATAGGATTACAGGGTCGGGTGAGAGGAAGGGAGGGCTGCTGGGCTGCTGGATGGACCTGATGTGTTTGGCTTTAGAGTTTAGCTGCATCCACTCCTCCCCCCTTAAGCCTGCTCTGGACTGACACACTAACACACACACATGCACACACTCACACTCACACTCACACTCACACACACATCTCTGATGCCTGGATGCTAGTAAAATGAGGATTCGCTTTGCTCTCTGCTATCTGTGCGTGCTGTCAGATGTCAAATCATGCATGTGTGTGTGTGTGTGTGTGACCAGTGATTTTGCTAGGCAGTGTGAGTCTATAGGATTACAGGGTCGGGTGAGAGGAAGGGAGGGCTGCTGGGCGCCTGGATGGACCTGATGTGTTTGGCTTTAGAGTTTAGCTGCATCCACTCCTCCCCCCTTAAGCCTGCTCTGGACTGACACACTAACACACACACATGCACACACTCACACTCACACTCACACTCACACACACATCTCTGATGCCTCACGACAGTGATCTTGTGACTGCAAACGTTGGCTTACGAAAACATCATGTAAAGTCATGCACTCGGTTTCTCTGCAGCTTGTGCACAGATCTCAAACGCATTATTAGCTCACAAAAAAACATTTACATGTGTTATGGATCAGATCTTGATTTAATGCCATACTGCTTGTGTGTGCATGTCGGATAGAATACACAGTCACCTGACCACCTGTAATGTACTGCAAGTGGACTTTTGTGTGTGCACCCCTACAAACAATGTACTGTGGTGGCTACCAAACAATGACAGTATCAAAGTGCAGTTACATTTACTGTGCTCTGTCAATTTTTAGCAGCAAAATCCAGTCATTTTAATAGGAATCCAAGCAATCATGCACACACTCACACTCACACTCACACTCACACACACATCTCTGATGCCTCACGACAGTGATCTTGTGACTGCAAACGTTGGCTTATGAATACATCATGTAAAGTCATGCACTCGGTTTCTCTGCAGCTTGTGCACAGATCTCAAACGCATTATTAGCTCACAAAAAAACATTTACATGTGTTATGGATCAGATCTTGATTTAATGCCATACTGCTTGTGTGTGCATGTCGGATAGAATACACAGTCACCTGACCACCTGTAATGTACTGCAAGTGGACTTTTGTGTGTGCACCCTTACAAACAATGTACTGTGGTGGCTACCAAACAATGACAGTATCAAAGTGCAGTTACATTTACTGTGCTCTGTCAATTTTTAGCAGCAAAATCCAGTCATTTTAATAGGAATCCAAGCAATCTGGAATTTCATGTGAGGATGAAAATATCCCCATGCAAATTTTGCAATGGGTTCAGTTGGTCACGCAAATTTGCTGTATTGTCAAAGTGAGTCTGTTAGATTATTTTTTTGCCCGCAAAATTTAATCCGAATTCACTAATGTGACCTCACCTTCAGACCAGTTTTATTATAAAACAGATAGTTCCGGTCCTTGATTCTGATTGGTTGAGCCACGTTCGAAGCTGTTGTAAATTACTCTACAAACATACACCTTTGTTTACTTTGTGTGTTGCTTGGCAACCATTTTATTGCTGTTTCTGAGGAACTACATTGTTTGGTGGAAGAATACTGCTTTTATTAATATCATTCATTACACTTTATTTGCTGTTTTATTTTGTGAAACCTTACTACACATATATGGAATAACCGTTTTATAAAAGCAATAAGCCCCGTGAAGCCATGGTTTACAGTCAATTTATAACAGCTAAGGGGGTTTTAGGCACTCCGCGAACAACGCCCCTTAGCTGTTATAAATTCACTGTAAACCACGGCTTCTTGGGGCTTATTGCTTTATTTTAGTATGATTTAGATACTACAACAGTTTTAAATTTTTTTTTTTAATTTAGATTTTATTTTTATATTTTCATTTTTTTATTTTAGTTCAATCTTTAGTAATTTTGTTATGTGCTTTTTACAATTGTATTATTATAATTTTTTTAATTATTACTATTTAGCTTAAATTTGTTTTAATTTCAGTTTTAATTTTAGTTCTGTCAGGACCACTATCGTCAAAATGATAGATACTTAGCATAAAGATTGGTTTGGCGGTATGGTTCTGTTCTGGGCAAAAAACCTCCCTGCCCATCCATGCAGCCTGTCATGAATGAGCAGGGAGAGCAGCAATAATAACCCCCCTAGGGTTAACAGAACAGAACAAGGCAGATATCATTAATGTACTTAATGATATTTAAGTGTAACACTTTATTCAAAATAAAGGAGTCTGATTAGCAAGGAATATCAGAAAGCCAAGTCCTGACTGTGGCGAAGGTGGATCTGGTGATGGAGGATGGTTATTTGCTCCGGAACAAGCTGAAAAGCTGCAGAATAATACTGAATACAGCTTATATAGGAATGCCGCGATAGGTGTCGTATTCCTATAGGTAGATGTGATCAGCTGAGGATCAGCTGATGCAAGCTTGACTCACGTGACCTGCCAGAACTAACGCTAACGCTTAATTTTTCTTCCAGAAATGCGTTTTTGCAGTGATGTCTGTACACGGTTTGATATACCATTGATTATCATGTACATATAGCACAGAATTTATGGTAGTAAAAGGCATTTCAGAAAATACCATGGTACTAATATGAAGCATGCCCAAAAATTCCAATATGCCCAATTTATTTTTCTAAATATTTAAATACGATGGTATTCCAAAAATCATAGTATTTCCAGTGAACTGTGTCCCAAAACAACATTAAATTATATTAGTACATTCTGGTACTTTTTTTGTTATTGCATATGCAGCTTTACATGTAAATGCAGTGACAGAATCTCTTAACCTACTATAGAAATGCTTGAATGTGTGCTCACCTGAGGCCTGAACTTCTGTGACGTACTGCAGGAGTTCCTGTCCCTGGTGTATGACGTGGAAGGTGAGGTTGTTCATGGTGAGAGCTTTATCTGCGTGATGCTGCAGTCTCTGCTCTGCTAGTGTCAGATCCTCAGTGTCAAACTCATTCATCTGCTGAGACAGCTCCTCATTCCATGACTCCAGGTCTGAGATGACCTACACAACACATCCACACAAACAACACCATAATAAGGCATGTATCAGTGACCATATTTACAGTAAATGAGTGAACAGGTTTTTAAATGAATTTTATTATTCTGGAAATGCAAATATTGGATACAGTTGATAATTTAATACTTAAAAAAAACATATAAAATATAGTATTCAAAAAAAAAAAAAGTATTATAGCTGTACGGAAATAGACGGAAGTCAAGGCAGATTAGGCAGATATTATACCATATTAAATTAGGAACAGTTTGTTGAATGCCATTACTTTTACATAGCTTGCTCAATTGTTTGTCATTCCAGTGGAAACAAATAATAATAAAAAAATAAAAAAATAAAATATGGGAGTAAAAAGTATAAAACATCCTTATTTCATTCATTAAGAATTTGCGCTGTCAAACTATTATACAAAATAGAAGTTTTTGTTTGTGTGTATGTGTATATTATATATATATATATATATATATATATATATATATATATATATATAAATACACACACATACAGTATATATTTTGAAAATATTTACGTGTATATACATTTATATATTTATATTCATATAATTTATATTATAAATAAATATATTTAATATATAAACATAACATATTATTCTGAAATATATACATGCATGTGTGTGTATTTATATATACATAATAAATATATACAGCACACATACATACTATATAATATGTAAACAAAAACTTTTATTTTGGATGTGATTAATCGCGATTAATCGTTTGACAGCACTATTAAAAATGTATCCTACACTGACTAAGAGTATCTGCTTATTTTGATAGTTCAATTTAGACATTCTACTAAGTATAAGTAACAACCAGTCATTAGAGTATTAGGAGACAGTCTGCTTAATATCTTTATTTGGATGGTCTGCCAACAGATGTTCTGCTAAATGTAAGTAACTTCGCAAGTACATTCTACTAACCTGAACACTAAGAGTCTACTAATACTCTAATGAGAGTTAGCTGACATGTAGTTGTAAAGTTACTTATAGTTAGCAGAATGTTAAAAGTAGATTAAAATAAAGTGTAACAGATTCTGTGCATAAATAGTCTTCAAAAGGTGACTAATGCATATATAAAAACACTTTAATTCCAAATGCAATGATGCAGTGAATACTAAACATCTTCTATTTTCAATGTTTGTTCAGTTTTGTTTAAAAAAGTGAGTGTTTGATTCCAGTAATTTTTGTATGTCTCATTTCGGCATCCTTAACTTGTACTATTAAATATTGAATCAGCCATTGGCCAGTCTGCTCACTAGCTACCAGCACTGGCCATTAAACACACATATTAGTTGACTATTAAAAATGAATATTAGAGCATCTAATCAAAACTTCACAATGCAGCTCACGAAATTATTCCTCAATAGCACTACAGAAGACATCTGTCATTGATATAGCAATTGGTTTAAAGTTTAAAGTCATGATTTGAACAAATAATCCTCCCGTCAAAAGTCTAAAGCACTCACTCTGCACTGCTGTGTGGTTGAGAATTCCTCCTCTATTGAACATGAGCATTTTTCCCAGCTTTTCTGAGTGAAGCACTGATAAGGACAGCTGATGATGACTAGAACGGGAACACTGTAAGAAGTAAATGTGTTCTTCAATGCGTGGGAGCAGCGTTTGGGAAATCACACACCCACTGCTGTACCTTCTGGCACACTGCCGCCTTGACTGACAATGCCGGCCCGCCCTGCACTGAGTAACTACCTCACATCCGATGTAGGAGTTCACCTACAATCGTCACCCATACTGGAACTTATACACGTCTGTGTACGGCTTTCAGGTTGTTCTTTCAATTTGCTCTTTGTCTACACAAGGTCTTCTCAGTTTTACCTTATCTATCAGCAAAGTATCAGTGGAACGTGAGCGCCTTCAAAACTCCCTATGGAATGTGATACTCCTTGATCTCTATTGGATTATGTTACAGAGAGCGATATCACTTTTTACTACAAAAGCCAGCTCGTTTTGTGGACTCTGATTACTTCATATAGGGTTTCCTACAAACACACCATTTAAAACAGCCACCAAAGGTCAATCGCACAGCATGATGGGGTTTATGCAGGTTTATGCAAATGAGCAAAAGAACGTCATCTCATTTAACGTCAACACAAAACTGTCCATCTATATTGTATTATGTTTCTGAACTTCTTATGCATGACTGTTCAGTGCATGTTATTCAACAGAAGAACATTTTTTTTGTCTTTTGTAACTTTGCTCCACCTCTTAAACAACTTCTATTTCGGGTGAGATCATCTATACTGTTAGGGAAAACATACACTATATGGACAAAATTGTCAGGACACCTGACCATTATACCAAAAGGGACTTTATTCATAGACATTAATATGGAGTTGGTCACTCCATTGTAGTTATAACAGCTTCCACTCTTCTGGGAGGGCTTTCCACAAGATTATGGAGTGTTTCTGTTGGAATTTTTGCCCATTTATTCAGTAGAGCATTTGTGACGTCAAGCTCTGATGCTAAATGAGTAAGCCTGGCTCACAAACTCCATTCCAGTTTATCTCAAAGGTGTTGGATGGGGTTCAGGTCAGGACTCTGTGTGGGCCAGTCAGGTTCTTCCACACCAAACTCATCCAACCATGTCTTTATGGACATTGATTTGTGCACTGGGACATAGTCATGCTGGAATATAAAAGAGCCCTCCCCAAAGTGTTGCCACAATGTCACAAGTATAGCATTGTCCAAAATGTTTTGGTATTCTGAAGCATGAAGATTTCCCTTCATTAGAAGCCAGGGGCCTAGCCCAACCCCTGAAAAACAGCCCCATACCATTATCCCTCATGCACTATGCAGTCAGGCAGGTAATGTTCTCCTAGCATCCGCCAAATGCAGACTCGCCCATCAGAAGCATGATTCTGTTTAAATCTAGATTAGACACATCTCTTTAGCCAAGCATTCACATAATTTATCTCATAACCTTGTACTTCAGTTACATCTGATCGAATGCACATTTTCATTATTTTGCTTGGGTTGAACACATAATTTTTGGCTTAGTTGGAACAGCAGCTACGCAAATTTTTCTCTATTACCTTCTCTGTTTCTGCCACGGGATTGGTATCACGTGGTAACTAGGAATTACACAAGCTTCAGTCTGGATCCAGCCCTTACAAAGACCTGAGATGACCGAACACCTGAGAAGAGATGATGCCAATCCCCCAGAGGACCTCAGATGATGCCAACCCTCAGACAACATACAAAACTACCAAATTTTGCATTACATGACATTAACTACCTGCTTGATTTTTACCGTACATTTCTGCCATATGGACATCAATTTGAGATAGTCACCACTGACAAGCTATTACTAAATATAATGTAGAAACCTTAATTTTCTGTAAAGCTGCTTTGCAACTTTGCTTGGCATTGTACTTAGTGATGTGTGCTTGCATGTAGCTGCTCGGCCATGGAAATCCATTTCATGAAGGTCTTTCCACACAGTCTTGGTGTGGATATTTATGCCAGTGGATGTGTGGAACTCTTCAGCTATGGACCCAGTAGAGAGTTGGTGACTTGGTGACCCCACTCTGGGACTTTACATGGTCTTCCGCTTAGTGCATTAGTTGATCCTAAACACTACTACTTTCCAATAACACAACACATACCACTTACAGTTGAACCATTTCAAGCAGGGATGAAATATCACAAAATGGCATACTGCAAAGAAGGCATCCTATCCAACACTTGAATTTACTGAGCTCTTTAAAATAAAAAAATTTTCATTAATGTGTGTGCTTGCAGACTACATGGCTAGGTGGCTGATTTCATATACTTGTGGCAATGGGTATGACCGAAACAACTGAATTCAATAATTAAGAGGTGAGTTCCAATACTTTTGTCCAAGGAACTAGGACCCTTCACCAATTCCACAGCTGTACTTAATGCTATAAATTCAAGGATCAGTGACATATTCCACTCTCTCTCTCTCTCTCTCTCTCTCGCTCTCTCTCTTTTTTACATTACTCATAATATACAATAATATACTTTTTATTTGATATATTTACTTTTTGTTTATCTGTAAATTTGTGCTACATTCATTTACTAGGCATGTACAGTATGTGCCCTGTTTATTATGTTTATGCTATAGGTTATTGTCTATTGTCCTGTGTTTGTATTTATATTGTGTATTATATTATATTGTTATATTGTGCAAACTGTGAGTACTTTACTCTCCCTTGTATAGCTGCTAATGCACTTTAATTTCGGATATGGGATCAAAAAAGTCTATCTATCTATCTATCCATCCATCCATCCATCCATCCATCCATCCATCATCATGTATTTTAAGTTCCTTCACAAAAAACTCTCAACATCTAAAACTGTAAAAACATCTATTACAGTTTTTTTCAATTGCTAACAAGCGTTTACCAATACTTTTGGTAAAGTACTTTTTCTAAACTCTTAACACAGCAACACACCTACATCACACAATTAGCCAAATAGTTAATTTTGTGTCCACAACCGCATTTTGTTAAATAAATACAAACTCTACATTTCAAAATGCTGAATACCTTTTTCTACATATACTAACTCTATCAAAACACAGCAAACCTGATTCAAAATCGAGTCATTCGGTCAAAACATTAGCACTAGTTTCTATCCAACAGAAACATATAGTCAACCATAGCACAGTGACTGTCAAAATACTAACAGTTGATGGCTTTACAAAAACTGCATTACTTGTAATTTTTCAGTTCTACCTGCATATAATAGACAATATAAAAATCCATAGTTTTTTGTAATTTAGCCTTCAGTTTACCTTCAACTGAAACCCATTTTACATTTGTAAGCGTTGAATGTGTTCATTCTTTGCAACATACTAAAACTGAATTAGTCATTACTTTATAGAATGTACAATAGAAAAAAAACCTGATTCAAAATCGAGTCATTCGGTCAAAACATTAGCACTAGTTTCTATCCAACAGAAACATATAGTCAACCATAGCACAGTGACTGTCAAAATACTAACAGTTGATGGCTTTACAAAAACTGCATTACTTGTAATTTTTCAGTTCTACCTGCATATAATAGACAATATAAAAATCCATAGTTTTTTGTAATTTAGCCTTCAGTTTACCTTCAACTGAAACCCATTTTACATTTGTAAGCGTTGAATGTGTTCATTCTTTGCAACATACTAAAACTGAATTAGTCATTACTTTATAGAATGTACAATAGAAAAAAACATAGGGTCCCCTTTGCAGAAATTCAATTGGAACTGCACTCCAGTGGGTGGGGGTTGGATGTAGATGGTGGCTGAAGCCAGGGATCAACAAAAAATCCAACATACATGGCCTCTGGTTATTATGCAAGCTCGTTTCCGTCACAGAATAAAAAGAAAAACAGTAACTGTGACCTTTTTATCTCACATTTTGGACTTCTATTATTGGAATTGTGAGTTTACATCTTGCAATTCAGACTTTATCAGAATTGTGAGATACTGTAAATTCACAATTGCAAGAAAACAGTCAGAACTCTGAGATAAAGTCACCATTACTCTTACCCTTTATATTCCATGGCAGAAATAAGCTCTCATATGTTTCACATGTGGGAAAAAACAAACATAAAAATGCACTCACTTCTCTCCCATACCTCGTCTCCCTTTTTCTGATCCAACTGTTTCTCTACACCCTACAACTATTCCTCTCCCTCTCCCAGGCATCCGTAAAACCAATTCAAAGAGGTATTTTTTACTCTATGTTGTTGATGTAATGGAAATAGCTTCAACACCAGACTATTCCGCCAACTGAGACTGGAATCAGCTATAATTCTAAATATCTCAGTGATCTGTTACTTAAAAATGCTTATCAGTTGTTACAATACTTGGCACAGAGAGATTTTTTCAATACCTTTCAGCTGCTGTTGTTGCAGAAGTAGAAGCTTTATACTATATTTAAGGTTTGGAACATCAGGTCTTCATTTCTGACATGTTGTGTTTAAGCATTTGTAAATAAGACTAAAAACGTCCATGATTTTGGTTTTGCTTGTATGAAAGTAAATGTAAGCATTTTAGAAACATGGTAATTGACTGCATATTGTGTGAAAACAACATGAATTGTGTTAATGGTATGGTCACAACAGACGGATGTTGTGCTAATTGTACAATATATATAAAGAAACACTGACTTGAGTATAGCGGTCAATGGAGAAACAAGCTTTTTGGCTGAACAATGATTCAGTTACTGCATCTACCAGCAGAGGCTAACTGTTCATGCTAACCTTCCAAACCTTAAGCCTTTTGTAACATTACAAAAATTTAAAAGGTTGTTTCATGTTGACTTTAAGAGCTTTTATTCTGAGCAACCGTGTATGTGATATTTATTCGATAAAGCTGTTAATTTCTCAAACACCCTTTTGACAAAAGTGTGACTCATTTTCACATGTCCAGAGACACAATCCTCCATGACTCATAGTGCCGGCTGTGAAAAGAGCATCCATGATGACTTTATCTTTGCTCAAGGCTTCCGCTCAAAATCTCTGACATCAGTGGATTTAGTCTTTTAGCACTTTGGTCCTTTGATCAGATCAAAACCGACAAGAAATATAGAAGCAACAACACGTGGTATATAGCCTTCTGCCTCACAACTGATGCAGAACTGAAACTTTAAATTCATATAATCAAGGGGTGCCTGCCTGATGGCTATGAGAAAAAAAATATATATATATATATATATATATATATATATATATCTGACAGCAAGATTATAATTTAAAAACAAATAGGTTTCTAAACTCAAATAATGAAATTTGTTAATATAATCATGAACTGTATTGGCTGAGCAACATGCTAAATGATTAAACACAGCATAAGTTAATTAGAAAAACGGACCATTTTTGTGGTGTAAACATCACTTCTACGAATTATAGAAAGCTGAGTTGCGTACACAAGTGCATTGCAAATGAATGCAACCAGAATACTGTACATGCAGCTAGTGGGAAGACATTTCTACCTGTGTGTGTCCTTATAGCAACAGTCTCGTTACAATTTAGTCTATTTAGTCTGACTCATAACCCAAAGGTTGTGGGTTCGAGTCTCGTACCGGCAGGGATTGTAGGTGGGGGGAGTGAATGTACAGCGCTCTCTCCCACCTTCAATACCACGACTGAGGTGCCCTTGAGCAAGGCACCAGGAAATGCGACCGCCTTCGCTGAGAGCCAAAGAAGAATTAGGTGAAAAACAAAAGAAAAAGAAAACCTTACAGCTGCATGAGTCGTGACGTGACGTTAGCCTGATGGGACCAAACTCCCTTTGTGATTTTAAAATGTAAGACAGTACCCAGATTTGAAGACTACGGTAAGATTTAACCTCTACTGTTAATAAGATTTAGGTAGGCTACTATTAGATGGATAGCCTAAATGTCCTAATTCAGATGGGCTACCCGTTTTTTTTTTTTTTTTTTTTTGGTATATCAAAAAGGGTATTTTTTTTAAATGTGATTTTTGGTACATTTTACCAGTTTTTACCATACTTTCAAAACGAAAATTTTAATAGGAAAAATATGCAATATGAAAATAATTGAAGACAAAATGTGTTTTACTGAGAAAAAACAAGATTTGGTTTTTAAAAAGCCTTTTTCCAAAAGGTACATCTGGAAAAAGGGGGGTCGTCTTATAATCAGGGTCGTCTTATATTCGGGCCAATACGGTAATTAATGCAACAGACGTCAATGGGATGCTAAGGCCATTACATGATGTGCATATGTGTTTGTGTCAGAATTCTCATGACAACAAGTCAGCGTCATAATTTTCCACTAAACCCATGCTTTCTCATTGGGCAGTACCTGAGCTGCTGGATAAGATCCTCCCCTTCTTTAATGACGTTGACCGTGACCTGCAGGGTGGTTTGCTGCTGCTGACCGAAACGTTTGATCAGCTCCTGCACCGCCTCTACTGACTCAGCATAAACATCATCCAGCAACTCCTTCTGAAGCTCCTCCAACCACGTCCACAGCTGCAGAGAAATAACATCATTACCAGCCAATCAGAAACCTCACAATATTATGAACCAGTCAGTGACCTATGTAGATCCATGGGTCTTCAAACAAATAACATTTGTTCTATAATCTAAAATATCCAAATGCACAAACATGACGAGACAAAGAGCCAGACGGACTTTGGCTGCCACCGTACGGCTGGTGTTGTTATTCCCTGAGAATGGCTTCGTCTTATGTGAGCTCAGGATTAGCCATCTGCCTGTGTTGGCATGTCAAAGAGTGTATCTCCTGCCACAGCAGGCCATGCCTGTCCTTCCACACCTCCCCATTGTCTCTTTCCACCTCCACCTTTCTCTACCTTTCTCTTTTTCCAAAACTCCAGCCTTTAACCTTTTATCAATACGTATACCGTTATAAAACACACTCTCAGAAACAAAGATGTCTATATATGCCAGCCTGCTACAGATAGCAGATGGCTAACATTATGCCATATGGAGACATTAAACAGAGCATTGTTTGCTTGTATTAAGTATACTATGAATCATGTACACACTACTACTCATTAACATTCACTGTTTGTGGAATATAGAAGGGCCAGAAGGAAAGAGTTCTGAATTTATAAGCAGACAAATTGTAAAGATATGAGGTCCCAAAAAAAGCTAACCACTAGTTTGGCTTTAAAGCAAATAATGTTTAATTTCCGAAAGTGAGAGGCTGCATGGGATTCTTTTAGCATGTAGGACACAGTTCACACTGACTAGTCAATTAGTTCTGCCACTAGTGAATGTGTGGGGTCTGTCAACTAGTCGTGACACACAGTTTCAGTTGTGCTCGTTCTATGTAGCGACAGCAGGAGGAAAATTCCTCTGTCCACAAACTGAATAACATTAACTTTGTATTATAACCTAATTGGAAATACGTGAAAGTATTGGAGTGATTTTGTGTAAACAATGAGTGATTTGCGAGATGGCCTGAGTTTTTTTTGCGTGATCATATACAATTTTTTCTAATTATGTCATCTAAAGGCTGGCATTAACTACAGTAGCACGAATCCATGTATTTTTGTATGTATGTACAGTAGAATTCATATTTTTTTTTACATTCTCACCGGTCTGGAATCATCTCAGCTGTGACAGTCTCTCCATTAACATCAACGCATCAAAAAGTGCAAAAGCTGCAGAACTTACAGAAATGTCATTTACATAATATAAACAGTGACCCGTTGACTAGTTGACTAGTAAAAGTGTGTCGTGCAAGACCTACAGAGAAATGTTACCGCACACTTAACAATATGGTGCAGAATAAATGGAACACTGGTATGAAGCTATTGCTATATTGTAAATATATAAACATGAATGAATAAATAAAGAAATTAATAATAGTAATAATAATAACAACAACAATAATAAATTCAAGTACATTTTCAGAAATTGTGTGTGTACTGTACCTGTTACATAATATTCAGGAACATAATTACGTCATAATTTTACTTTCATCTCTGAAAGTGAAGACCAAAAAAAAAAAAAAACCCCACAAGTACCTGTTACACCATATTCAGGAACACGTTAACACTGGCAAACCCAGACATATCCACACCCACCACCACCCGTTCTTACTTTCTCATAAGTTACCTCTTTGCTGTGAGTGTGGAAGGCCACAGACATGTCGAGCAGGACTTTGCGTTGTTCAACCCGTCTTACGAAGTCCTGGATACGATCTTCCAGCTGGTGTGCAGCCTGGTAGATCTCCTCAGGGTCACACTCGCCCGTCTGAGCCAGCTGCTCTGCTGCCTCCAGGAGTTTGTCTGCATTCGTGTAGGTGTTCTGAGAAACACGCAGAAGTTAATATGCATTTGACTCATTTCTGTGATGGCCTAGTTTTGATTATGGGAGGAGAACTGTAGATATCCAGGTGGAAAATATCCAAAGCGATGATCTTACATCTGTTTCTCCTTACCTGAGCCACTTCTTCAAAGTCCTCATGACGTTTCTGTAATGCTCGAGCCCTGTGCAGAGACTTCCCCACTCCTGTGTGCTTACTCAGGAACGCCTCACCATGGTTTTCAATCCAATCTAGAACCTGTGTGAGAAGATATTCGCAAAGAAGAACATAAAGGTTCAGAAGGTCAAAATAACCACCAAATCACTACAAAAGAACCAAAAAAGTCCATATAATTGTAATAGAGTCCAGATTCCATATGAAATACTTTTATGGTGGTTTTTGTCCTTTTCGTATGTAGAGATTCTTTAAACATTGGAAAAATAACAGCATACAGATTTGGAATAACATGCAGGTGAACAAGTATTATTAACAATTTAACGCAGTGGCATCTAAAATCTCCCTTTCAAATGTATATTCTGTTCTCAACTGGGAGAAGGACTTTCACTAAGAGAAAAATAACCAAATGTTGCTCAGAGGGGCAAAAGAACCACCACCTGCATTTTAAAAACGAATCAATTAAGATATTTATTTTTTAGAAAAAAAAAATATAAAAAATAAAACATTTGTTTGTTAGTGCTGCAAAATGTAACTACAATATATATATATATATATATATATACAGTGGGTACGGAAAGTATTCAGACCCCCTTAAATTTTTCACTCTTTGTTATATTGCAGCCATTTGCTAAAATCATTTAAGTTAATTTTTTTTCCTCATTAATGTACACACAGCACCCCGTATTGACAGAAAAACACAGAATTGTTGACATTTTTGCAGATTTATTAAAAAAGAAAAACTGAAATATCACATGGTCCTAAGTATTCAGACCCTTTGCTGTGACACTCATATATTTAACTCAGGTGCTGTCCATTTCTTCTGATCATCCTTGAGATGGTTCTACACCTTCATTTGAGTCCAGCTGTGTTTGATTATACTGATTGAACTTGATTAGGAAAGCCACACACCTGTCTATATAAGACATTACCGCTCACAGTGCATGTCAGAGCAAATGAGAATAATGATCTAATATTGATGCTGACAACAGATATTAAATGCTCAAAGAGAAAGATAAAGGACAGGAAGATGAAAGTAACGGATTTCATTCATCCTTTTACCAGCACAGGCCTATCTACAAAACCGATTCCAAAAAAGTTGGGACACTGTACAAATTGTGAATAAAAACAGAATGCAATGATGTGGAAGTTTCAAATTTCAATATTTTATTCAGAATACAACATAGATGACATATCAAATGTTTAAACTGAGAAAATGTATCATTTTAAGGGAAAAATAAGTTGATTTTAAATTTCATGGCATCAACACATCTCAAAAAAGTTGGGACAAGGCCATGTTTACCACTGTGTGGCATCCCCTCTTCTTTTTATAACAGTCTGCAAACGTCTGGGGACTGAGGAGACAAGTTGCTCAAGTTTAAGAATAGGAATGTTGTCCCATTCTTGTCTAATACAGGCTTCTAGTTGCTCAAATGTCTTAGGTCTTCTTTGT